CGCGCCGCCACGCGCCCGCGCGCCTCCCCCCGCGCGCCTCGCTTGTGCCGTGCAGGGCTGCGGCGCACGACCGCTTCACGGTCAAGGCTGTTGAGGGTGAGCGTGGTGCTGGATGTGAAGGAGGGAGAAAGATGGCGGCGTGAGGCGGCGGCGGCAGGCGGGCTGGGCGATGGACACCTCGGATGGACACTAGATGGGCTGCCGCCGAGGGAGGGACGCTACATGCGCAGCACGCACAGCATGCGGAGCAGCACAAAGCAGCGGGCGCCCGCTCCGCTGCCGGCCCCTGCGTTTGCTTGGCTCTATCTCGGGGGCTTGGTCAACGAGCGTGATTAAAACACACAAGCGAGCATTGCAGCGAAAGCACGCAGGCTGCGGGCCGGGGGTGTTCAGCGCCTCGGCGCCGCCAGCTGCTGCAGCGGCGCCAGGCTGGCGCGCGCGCCCGCCTGCGCTTTCTCGCACATCGCCTCCAGCCGCAGCCGACACGCCGCCGCCGTGGGCTGCCCGCCGTCCGCCCACGCGGCCAGCTGCTCCGCCGCCTCCTCCCCGGCCGCCGCACCCGCCGCCGCCGCGGCCACCGCCGCCTCCAGCCGCGCGTCTGCGGCGGCACGCAGGCGCCGTCCGGCCGCTGCCAGCACCTCGCTGCCGCCGCCCAGCCCGCCCACGGCGGCCAGCAGGAAGGCGGCCTCTAGCCAGAGCTGCAGCACGCCGCCAGGGGAGGCGGGGGGCACGCCCTGGCTGAGCACCTGGCACACATGGGGGGGGCAGGCGCGGCACACAGGGGGAGCAGCGCGGGGCGAGTGAGAGGCGGGCCCTGGGAGGGCCTGCAGGGCCGACCGGCAGCCCTCCGCGCTCCCTCAATCGCAGGCCGTTTGCTGCGCGGGCGCCCACGCCCAGTGCACGCCCCTGCACACACACGCACACACGCTCCATCGCCGATGCCGCCAAGGGCAGCGCCGCCGCCCCGGCGGCGCCGCCAGCCCGCCTGCACACCCACAGCAGAGAGCCCACCTGCGTAAAGCCATCCAGCGTTCCCAGCAGCAGCTCCTCCAGAGCCTCCGCCAGCAGGGAGGGGGCCACAGCCGCCAGCTCAGCCTGTACCGCCACCACGGCGTGCACCAGGTCCAGCGCCGCGGGGCGCAGGGCGACGGGCGGCGGCGCGGCCTCCCACGCCGTGCCGTCGGCAAACAGCAGCTGCTCCATGGCTTCGTCCAGTACCGCCTGCATGGGGCGGAGGTACCGGTGGGTGGGCAGGGTGGTACCGGCGGGTGGGTGGGTGGGCCGACCACGGCGGGTGGCGGCAAGAGGCAGGCGGCGGCTGTGCTGGCGCGGCCTGCAAGCGATGGGCTGAATGCGGGAGGCCGAGGCCGACAGACACTACGGGCAGCCATGCCTCTGGCCTCTCCGCAGCAGCAGCAGCAGCAGCAGCAGCAGCAGCAGTGCACCTGCTTGCGGTCGATGTAGGCGGCAGCCAGGCGCGTCTCCACCGCCTCCAGCTCAGCCGCCGCCGCCGCCGCCGCCGCCTGCAGCTCCCTGCCGCCGCCGCCCGCCTGCAGCAGTGCCGCCCACCGCGCGTACTGCGCCGGCAGCAGGCGGCCGCGTACCGCTGCCAGGTTGGCACACAGCACCAGCAGGCGGCGGGAAGGCGACAGGGTGGCGGCGGCGGCGCCGCGGGGCGCACCCGCCGCGGAGGCCGCCTCTGCTGCCAAGCTCTGCAGTCGCGGGGGGGGAA